AATGAAACCGACTTCCAGGCCAGGGAAGTAGCAGTTCTAATGTTCAAGGTGGAAAGAAGGAAACTGAGGCATGAAATGACCTAGAAGGGAGAGAACCCACCTGCCAACATCTCTTGACTCTGTAGCCCTGTCCCCATTGCCACTGCCACCACTCTGTCCAAGGACCATCATTTTCTTGGACTGTATCCTCCTGTCCAGCCTCACTGCTTCTGCCTGTGCACCTTGCAGTCCATTCTTCCAGAGCAGGCAGAGCGGTCTGCCTCTATGGGCTCATGGATCTGGGGGCAGACACACCAGGAAAGAGAAAACAAGTGTGTGACAGAATGCGTGAGAAACACAGGTGTTATAAGGTTACAGAGGTGGTATATTTAGTCTGTTATGTTATGGGGTTGGGCAGGAACCAGAGGCAGCTCCAAATTTCCATGTGGGTGGGGCTTGGAGGCAGCAGTCTGATTACTTGCAGGTGGACTGGGAGCTTTCCTTGAGACTTATTTTTTATCGTAAGGCTGACTGTTTATTTGCAATAGCTGGAGAGTGTAGCTTGCTCCACCACTGAAGAAGGCTTCTTGGGAGAGGTGTTCTCTTTGAGACAAGGACATTACCAGGAAAAGAAGGGAAAGTTCTGCTAGGCAGAGGGAACAGCCTGAACAAAGACATGGAGGTGTGTTCAGGGACCGAGCTGCGCACGGTTGCCAGGGCATCGAAGACAGTGCAAGGGCTAGTCCTTGGGGGCCATGGACACCAAGAGCACTGTCCTAAGAGCACTGGGGAGCCATGGATGGTTTTCTGTTTGTTTTTTAAATTGTGGTGAAAATATACGTAACAAACCACACACCACCTCAACAATCTCCACATGTATAATTCAGTGACATTGATTCCATTCTTCAGGTCATGCAACTGTTCTCACTATTCTTTTCCAGATCATTCCACCACCATGGACATAATAAGTTCAATGCCTCCTAAGCAAAAACTACTCCCATGGATGATTTTTTGAAAACAGCTTATTTATTTAAAATAATATTTCATTGCATTTTTGGTGTGTGTTGTTTGTGTTTACACAGCAAATTAGGTTTCCATTTGACAGTTTCTGCATGAATTGTTCAACGACATTACTTATATTTTTCACAGTGTGTAAACATTCTCTTTAATTGAGCTCTGGTTGTTCCATTCTCAGTGCTTTAGTTTCCCTGCCCACTTATCTTCTCATCTTTGCCTTAGAGTAGTTGTTGACCTTTTGTTCTTATGCAGATGGATTTTTAATGGAGCACCAGTTCTTATGGATAATATCTTTTGTCATGTGTGCCAATCTGTTACTTTACTAAAAGGTGACCCCAGGATATAGCTTTGGTTGAAAAACTGCTTTGTTGAGGTAAATTTTACATGCCAAAGATGCACTCATTTTAAGTTTAAAATTCAATGATTTTTGGTAAATCTGTAGAGTTGTGTAACCATTACCACAATCAGGTCTTCTTGTGGCTGTTGTTGCCATGAGTCAGTTCTGAGTCCTGGTGACCCCATGTGTTACTCAGTAGAACTGCTCCATAGGGTTTTCTTGGATGTAATATTAATGAATGCAAAGCACCATGCCTTTGCTTCCACAGTCCTGCTGGGTGGGCTGTAACTGCCAACCTTGAGGTTAGCAGTTAAACAAACATCAGTTGAATTACCTACAATCCAGGCTTAACTCCGGCCCCCAAAAAGTTTCCCTCATACCCATTTAGTCACTCCCTCTTCCCACCCACAGTTCCGGGAAACCACTAATCTACTTTCTGTATCCGTGGAATTGCCTTTTCTGGACATTTATATAAATGGAGTCATATAGTATGCAGTCTTTGGTGTCTGGCTTCTTTCACTTTGCAGGATATTTTTGAGGTTCATCCACGTTGTAGCATGTATCAGAACTTCATTCCTTCTTGCTGTTGAATAATATTTCCCTGTATGGATAGACCACATTTTGTTCATTCATCCTTAGTTGATGGGCATTTGAATAGTTTCCACCTCTTGGCTGTTATGAAATAATGCTGCAGTGAAAGTTTGTGTAGAAGTTTTGTAGGGACATCTGTTTTCAGTTCTCTTGGGTAGATTCTTCACAGTAGAATTACTGGGTCATGCAGTTAGTTTATATTTAACTTTTTAAGAAACTGCCAAAATGGAAGAGTGTTAAGGAGGAGGGTGATCGGGCAGCTCAGTGTGTTAGGAAGCTCACTGTGAGAAGGGGTTTGTTTGGTGGAGGATACAAGGCCTGTGAGATCTTTAATGAGGTGAGGTGAGGATTATGAACACTGCGATAGAGAGGAAGAGGCAGGAAAATGGAGTTAATAAGCACTTGATAGATTTGGCATTGCTCATAAGCAGACAGGAAGTTCTGATTTCTCAGCTATTAAATATGAACTGAAGCTGTTGGTAAGCGTCCTCATCTAGGGGAGGAAATGGGCTCTGGAGGCTAGCAGGACCCCATAAGACCACTTTAAGAATGGAAAGTGACTGTCTTGGTTCTCTGTTGTTGTTGTTAAGTGCCGTCGAGTCGTTTCCGACTCATAGCGACCCCATGCACAGCAGAACGAAACACTGCCCGATCCCGTGCCAGCCCCACAATCCCTGCTATACTTGAGCCCTCAGTATCTGCCAGAGTTGTCTGGTAGCAAGCAACAGGGACCTACTCTGGTACCTTCTATAGGGAAGGAATTTATGGGGGAGTAAAGTAAGGAATTGACTGAACAGCAGTGAGCAAAGTAGAGGATCAGACAAAAAGAGAAAGACCCTTAATGATAAGGATTGACACAGTGGCTGCAAAAATTAGCTCACAGATACCTGCTCTTGTGAGGATGACACAGCATGAGGCAACGTTTCATCCTGTTGTTCATGGAGTTACTATTAGTCGGAACTGACTCGACAGCACCTAGCAACCATCTGGTAGCTGGAGTTCCTGGGTGGTGCCCGTGGTTGAAGCACTTGGTTGCTAACTGAAATATGGCAGTTTGCGTTCACCCAGAGGAGCTTCAGAAGAAAGACCTGGTGATCCTACAGTTGATCCTTGAACAACCTGGGCTTGAAGTGCACAGATCCACTTATATGTTGATTTTTTTCAAGATACGGATCATGGAGAAATTCAAGAGCTAATAGACACCACACCATCAGAATGAATGAAGACAACTTGATGGAGAAGAGAGCTCCTGAACCAGTGTCAGGCAATGAAGAAGAAGATGTAGAAGAAGCTGTGCTAGAAAACAAATTGACAACACACAATCTGGCAGAAGGTTTGAGACTGCTTTTGGCTTCTTTTCTGACATAGACCCTTCTTGTTATGGGCACTGAAACTAAAGCAAATGGTGGAAGAAGGACTGGTACCATATAGAAACATTTTTAGAGAAAGGAAAAAGCAAAAAGCTCAGACAGGCATGACAATGTACTTCTACAAAGTTACAGGGAGTATGCCTGCCTGTCCTGCCTCCTTTTCTACCTTCCTCACCTCTTCCACTGGAGATAACATGATCAACTCCTCTTCCTTCTCCTCCTCAGCCTACTCAACGTGAAGATGACGAGGATGGAAACCTTTATGATGATCCACTTCCACTTCATGAATAGTAAATAATCATCATACCATACAATTCATGAATAGTAAATAATCATCATACCATACAATTCATGAATAGTAAATAATCATCATACCATACAATT